TTTTTTGGTACTGGGGATCGAACTCGGGACCTTGCGCTTTCGAGGCAGGCGGTAGAACTACTGAGCTAAATCCCTGGCCTGGGGCCATACTCTTAAGTGAAATAAATAGGACACACATGTGTAAATACCAAATAGTTTCTCTAGTGTGAGAAACTGAAAGTGTAAATAACGATTAAAATGAATAACTGATAATGTGAAATAGGACAAAAAAGTACAAAGGGGAAGGGGAAGTGGGAGGGATATGGGGAAAGGAAAGAAGGGAAAGGAAAAAATATGAGAAAAGGAAAAAATGGACACAAAGTCTTTGTAAATAGGGAGGGGTGGGGGACTTGATGGGAGGAAAGGGGAATGGGGAAAAAATAAGAATCAAGATACATTATGTAAAGGTACAAGTTCCTAATGATGAATGTCATCGTATTATATACCTAAAATGTACCGATAAACTTAATGAATAAAAAAAAAACATTAGCCAGACCAATTAGGCAAGAGACAAAAAAAAAGGGAAACATATAGGAAAGGAAAAACTCAAATTATCATTCTTTGCAGATGACATGATACTCTACATAGAAGACCCAGAGAACTCCACCAAAAACCTCTTAGAATTATTAATGAACTTCAGCAATGTAGCACAATATAAGATCAACACACAAAAATCATTAGCATTTGTGTACACCAACAATGAATGAGACAAGAAGGAAATTATTAAAATAATACCATTCACAGTAGCTTCAAGAAAAAAAATGACATACCTAGGAATTAACCTAACCAAAGAAATGAAAGACCTCTACAAAGAAAACTACAGTACTCTGAAAAAGGATATTGAAGAGGACATCAGAAAATGCGAAGATGTCCCTTGATCCTAGATAGACAGAATTAATATTGTCAAAATGGCCATACTCCCAAAACTGTTGCACAGATTCAACGCAGTCCCAATCAAAATACCAACAGCATACTTTACAGAACTAGAAGAAAAATCTAAAATTCATATGAAACCAAAAGAGACCCAGAATAGCAAAGGTAATTTTGAGCAACAAGAGCAAAGCAGGAGCCACAACAGTACCTGACTTCAAGCTATACTACAAAGTAATAGCAATAAAAACAGCACAGTAATGGAACAAAAATAGATACACTGATCAATAGAACTAAATTGAGGATACAGAAACTTCCCCAGACACATTCAGCTATTTGATCTTCGACAAAGAGACCAAAAGTATATGTTGGAGGAAAGATAGACTATGCAACAAATGGTGCTGGGAAAATTAATTATCTGTGTGCAGAATATTGAAACTGGACCCTTATCTCCCACCATATACTAAATTAAAATAAAAATGCGTGAAAGATCTAAACATTAAAACAGAAACATTAAACCTACTGGAAGATAAAATAGGTAAAAGACTTGAAGACATAGGTGTAGGAAAAGATTTTCTAAACAGAACCTCAATTGCACAAGAAATAACAGCGTGAATTAACAAATGGGATATCAGACTAAAAAGCTTCTGTACAGCAAAAAATCAATCAATAGAGTAAAGAGACAACTTACAGAATAGGGAAAAATTTTGCCAGCTATTCCTCAGATGGAGTACTAATATCAAGGATATACAAAAGACTCGAAAAAAATTAAACCACCTAAATTAAAGATCCAGGGAAGCAATGGGCAAAAGAAATGAACAGATACTTCAGAGAAGAAGAAATACAAATGGTCAACAGATAAATGAAAAAATGCTCAACACCTCTGGCCATCAGAGAAATGCAAATTAAAGCAACACTAAGATTCCGATCTTACTCTAGAAAGAATGGCAATCATTAAGAAATTAAACAATAACCCAGATGTGGTGGCACATGCCTGTAATCCCAGCACTCGGGAGGCTGAGGCAGGAGGATTGCCACAAGTTCAAGGCCAGCCTGGGCTACATAATGAGTTCAGGGTTGCCCTGAACTACAAAGGGAAACCCTGCCTCAAAAAAAGAAAAAAAGAAATCAAACAGTAACAAATGTCGGCAAGGCTACAGTGAAAAAGGAACCCTCCTGCATTGTTGGTGGGAATATAAACTGGTACAACCATTATGAAAATCAGTATGGAGATTTCTCCAAGAATTGTAATTAGAAATGCCAAATGACTAGTGATCTCCCTGGTAGGTATCTTCCCCAAAAAGCTTAAAATATCATATTACAGCAATATATGCATACCAGTGTTTATAGCAGCACAACTCAACAGCTAAATCCTAGAAACAGCTAAACTCTAGAAATAGCTAAATCCTAGAAAGAATTCATAATAGCTAAAGCCAAGAAACATCACAAGAGATGATTGGATAAAGAAAATTGGATAAAGAAAATGTGGTATCTATATATAATAGAATGCTATTCTACTATAAAGAATGACAGATTTGCACATTTGGTCCAGGGATATAGCTCAGTGGCACCACACCTGCCTCGCAAGCTCAAGGTGGTGTTTGATCCCCGGTAGCAAAAAAAAAAAAAAAAAGACAGATTTGAGACATTTGTAGGAAAATGGATGCACCTGGAGAATGCTATTCTACTATAAAGAATGACAGATTTGCACATTTGGTCCAGGGATATAGCTCAGTGGCACCACACCTGCCTCGCAAGCTCAAGGTGGTGTTTGATCCCCGGTAGCAAAAAAAAAAAAAAAATGACAGATTTGAGACATTTGTAGGAAAATGGATGCACCTGGAAAATATTATGTTGAGTGAAATAAACCAGACACAAGTTTAAAGGCCAGATGGTATCTGTCATTTGAGTGAGGCAAAGTACAAACAAAGAGTATGGTAAGGATGGATAGAAGGGCAGAAGGAGATGGATCTCTTGCTATAGGGAAGTGGTCCAAGGGAAAAAGTCCAAGGGATGAGGAGGACGGGAATGGGAAATAAGTAGAATAAAGATGTACAATTAATGTAAACATTATATGCCATAACATGAGCTAAGATTAATAATATGAGCAAGAATGAAAAATGGGATAGAGGAATTAGAGGAGGAAGGAGGGAGGGAGAAGGAAGGGAAAGGAGATTTAAAAAGAAACAAGCTGTGGAGCTGGGGATTTAGCTCAGTGGCTTGGTGCCTGCCTCACAAGAGCAAAGTCCTGAGTTCGATCCCTGGAACCAGGAGGAAAAAAAGAAACAAGCTGTGTTATGTACATGTAACCACTCCCCAAGATGATTATAAACTGCATGAACTGCAAACCTGTACTAATAAAACTTTAAAATTTTTTTAAAGAAAAAGAAAAAACAGAATAGTTCTTAGGGTGCTCTAGTTGCCATTTTTAGGTCTTTATATGCATAGCCAAATCCCTTACCAGCAGCCATCATGTTTCCAAAAAGAACAAGTCTCATTTTTTAATCTAAGGAAGAATACCCTTCAGGGCAAAACAATAATGAACATTAGTGAAACATTGTGTGAAAAGGAGGGCTAAAATTGGTTTGGATACAACTAGACATGACTATGGTGAACAGCTGAAATATGCAAAGGATCATATTACATTCCACAAAATCATGCCTGCAAGAATTACCAGAATAGAAACTAAAAACATTTATAGTTAAATGGATGCACATTGAGGCCATACTCTCAAGTGAAATAAATAGGACACACGTGTAAATATTGAATAGTTTCTCTGGTGTGAGGAACTGAAAGTGTAAATGAGGACTGAAATGTATAATAAAGAAAGTGAAATAGAAAGGAAAGGTCCAAAGGGGAAGGGGAAGGGGAAATGGGAGTGGTAAAGGAAAGGAAAAAAGAAAAAGGAAAAAATATAAGAAAAGGAAAAAACAGAAACAACATTTTTGTAAATAAGGAGGGGTGGAGGGGTGAAGGGGTTGAAGGGAGGGCAGGGGAATGGGGAAAAAAATAAGAACCAAGATATATCATGTAAAGGTACAAATTCCCAATGATGAATGTAACTGTATTGTATACCTAAAATGTACCGATAAACTTAATAAATTTAAAAAAAGAATTACCAGAATATTCAACAAAATCCCAAGAATCCAAGACTTGCTTTAGGGTATTCCCTGGGAATGGAGAAACCAGACAAGTTAAGTTTTTCCTCAGTGGATAGATGTTCAGATTCCTCCACAGTATAAATTATAAAATCTGAGTAGACCTGGGGGATGTGGTGGGTTGACACTCTGACAGATCTTATCTAACTGGTTCTACTTTACTGGACAAACCACCTCTCATAACTCATCACTATGAATGCAGGCAGACATACTTTAAGAAATATGAGTGGATTAAGCAGGGAAAGCAAAATGCAATCTCAGCACTGGAAACTCGGGCTCTGTCATTCGCATATGTCTTATCCCTTCTCCAGGAAATTATCAAAGTCCAACAATCTTTGCTTTTATTAAACTTAAATTTCAGAAAAAAAGAAACTATTATAGATTTACTCATAAACCCCATCAGACAATTGTGACTGGTCAGACTCACTTTCTGAATCCTGCTATTTCAAGTCTCTGGCACTGCTGATACCTCGATGGGACCATGTTAGTCACTAGTGAGTCCTGTGGAACCTTCAAATTCAGGTAATAATAGGAGTTTCTCTGGGTCCCTTTGGAAATCGGGGGCGGGGGGGGGGGAGATAGAGGAGACAAGCAAGCCCAGGAGTTCTGAACTCCCTACCCCATTATGGGGCAGTTATTTATTTTACGTGTTGGGATAGAGTTCAACTCACTTTCAAGGGATTCAGCTCAGTGGTTTCGTCACCTGCTGCGCAAGCGCAAGGACCCGAGTTTGATCCCCGGTAAAAAAAAAAAAAAAAAGGAGGTGCCAGATGACTTGTTTTGTACACAAGAGCTTGTCACCCACTATGGCAGGAAACTAAATTTCTCTTCTCTAGATAATAAGTGAGGAACTGCCTACCTCAAAGGGTCCTGCAATGCAGAAACACCTCGAAGAGCGTGTCAAGGCCTCTAAATCGAGCAAAGAGGTCAACCTCCGACCGGAAGTCCCACCCTCTGCAGCAAGGACCCAACCTGACCTCCAACCCCACCACCCGGAAGTGGACTCCCACGGGAGACATCCAATATGCGGGCCAGGACGTCCACTCACCAGCTGAGTCACCATTTCTGCCAGCCAAGGTAGGGAACTTGTCCAGCCTGAGACTCATGACACTGGCCAGGAATCTGAGCCTTCAGGACGAGGTTTCACTGTGATTATTTCTCCACTGGCCAAGAATTGAACTCTCTACCAAGAATTAGAACTGAACTCCCTTAAGGAAGGTTTTCTTTTCCTGTTCATGCCAGATGCCGTGAGAGACCTCTGTGGGTGCAGATAAACCTCCCTGAACTTCTGAACCAAAAGATCTGACAGAGGCCTAGCAAATAGAACTCAAATCCAGACTTACTAAATTAGAGACAGAAATCTTAAGCCTAACTATACTCTAGCAGCCTAAGAGAGGTGCTGTGGGGAGATCAAGGCGAAGTTGGGCCTCACAGCCTTGGTGGGCGGAGGCAGAATCTGTCTAAGAACTGGCACGATGTTTAGTTCTCCAGCTCCTATGTGTCAGTTGCCATATCCACCATGGCCATTTGCAGGGAACATGAAGAAGCCATTCAGAAAGGTCTAATGGTGACAATCAAGTCCAGAGTCAGAGATGGCAGAGAGCTTTGCACTGACTGCTTTACTTCTTAATCAAGGACTGGGGTTGATCTGCTACTGGTTCCAGAGAATGAGGATATTCTACTTACACTTCCAAGGAGTGGGGATGACCTGGTCCCCTTTCTGGAGCCAGAATGAGCCTTTGTTAACCTTGCCTGGCCACCAGAATAACAACACACAGGGGACAGAAATCCTAGGCTGACCTACAAATAATGTATGTCTTATTACCATCTTAAGTCTCCAGCTCAGATGTGACTTTTACCATGCTAATAAAGTAAAAGTAACTATAGGTTACTTTAGTGGTCATTCTACACATGCCTTTATCCCTTACCACATGGAATTTGCCCCTTATTTGGGAAAGTTCTTGATTGGGTTTTGGAGTAAGGCAGATCATTCCCCTACTTACTTCAGTGGTGTTATGGTTTGTATGGAGAATGTCTCCCAAAGGCTTTACTTAGTCATAGGTGGGGCTTTTGGAAGAGGATTGGTTGATGGGGACACTATAGCTGACTTGCTGTCAGGACATAGAGCCCTGTCTGGAGAGGTAGGTTGCTGGGGTCATGGAAATATACACACATATTAAAAAATATACACACATAAAACTATAAATATAAAAATATACACAAATAATGGAATATACGTGTATTATATATATATATATATATATATATATATCTCCCCAGCTTCTCCCTTCTCTCTCTGCTTCCTCCCTGCCATCTGGTTTGAGTTTGTTCAAGCTGCCATGATATGAGCAGCTTTCCTTCACCCAGGCCTTTCCATTATGCTGTTTTCTGTGTTTGAACCTGCTGAACATGGACTGAAGTTTTTGTAACTGAACCAAAATAAACCTCTACTCCTTTAAGTTGTGGGCCTCTGGTATTGTGTCTCAGAAATAAGAAAAGTGACTAATATGGCTTGATCTTGTTTTACTTGGCTATGGCTTTGTGGTGTCTCCACTGACCACATAGTCTTTAAGCTGACTTTTGAGCTGACTTTTTAACCTCTTGTCTCTTCTTGTATTGCCTTAATTTTATAGCCTTGGAGACTAGTCTAATTTTTAACCCCCAATTTTTTGGTATGTCTGTTAGCCCCACAAGACTAAGGGCTAACTTAGCTATCTCAGTCTTATCCTTTCCCCATTTCCTTCCCTCCCTAAATCTCAAAGGAAATACAATCACCTTAAAAGCCTCGCCTCTTCTACAACTTTTATTTTATTGCAGTGCTGGGATCAAACCCAGATCTGCCTCTAAGCACTATCCACAATGCTACAAACTGTTCTTAAAAGATAACTAGGACTGATCCCCAGTACCAAAAAAAAAAGATAACTAGGAAAACTGGCCAATCTTTGGTGATACCCCCAGAAAGGAAGAAAAAATATTAACAGTGGACTAATTGTTACACTAAGACTGTAAATTTTACAAAACTTTATTTTTTTTTTAATCCTCCCAATTTAGCAAAACGACCTAGCCTCAATTTAGGAGATTAGTACTATTTTAGATCCAAGCTGAAATAGCAACTTAGTTTGCCTTCTACTTTGTGATTTCTTTACATATTAAAATGATGATTTTAAAGTTAAATCCCTGAAACAACATGTCTCTACCACAAAAGCATGCCACCTAAAAGGAAGAAACTTTGAGCTCTGTTCTGCAGCAATTCCCAGTTAGTAACCACATCTGTCTGACAGGCTGGAGGGACAATTTAGCCAAATTTAAGGCAAATAAACCCTCATCTTTTTTTTGGTACTGAGGATCAAACTTGGAACTTTGTGCTGCCGAGGCAGGCGCCAGAACCACTGAGCTAAAATCCCGGCCCCAATAAACCCTCATCTTATGCAACACTGTTCTGCCTCACTCCAAGTCTGTCCTTGTTTACAGCTCACCCCAGCTGATAAGAAAGCAGAACCCAACCTTTTGAATGCATCAGGTAGTAGGAACCTGGTTTGAGTTTGTACAAACTTTCTAGTATCTGATTTTCACAGAGGCTATGATTTTTTTCTTTTAGCTTTTGCTTTTATGTTTGTGTTTTAATTTTATTTCTCCTTTTCCATTTTCAAATGCCAATACACAGCAGCTACTTGTATTCTTCCAATTAGCTAAGGTAGAAATTGGTAAGAAGAGAAAGGAGGGGGAGGGCAGGGGAAGGAAAAGAGGAAGAGGAAGAAGAAGAGGAAGAGGAGGGGGAGAGAGAGGAAAAAGGAGAAGAGAAGTTATTAGTGCCTATTGGCTGTCAGCAGAGCACCTAAAACCTTTATTTGCTTAGATGCAGTCCAATAATCTCCCACAGCTTAACGGTAGTCCCTCCATTCTAAGAAGATGAACATGCATTGTTGATTCTTGAAGGTTCCTCCTCATCCCTACACTTGAAACCAAATACTGCTTTAAATGCAAAAGAGCACTTGGAAAGCTATAAAGTCACTGGTGTTTCCCAGCCCTCCACAGATTTCTGAATCCAAAGTTTTGTTTGGATTAAAACAAGATGTACAACTCTTTTACACATTTTAAAGTTTATTACGTTTATAAACTGAAATGATTCTCTTTGCTAGAAAGCAAGAAGTAAACCTGTAGCAAGTAAAAAGTGAAAGCAGTCCAGTAAGCAAAGGCTTTCACCTTATATTTCAGAATGGCTTCTGTTTTAGACAATTTCAGACTGACATCATGGACCAAAACTAAAATATTTTATTTTGTTTAATAATCTGTAAAAAAAAAATGCTGTAATAGTTTTATTGAGATGAGGCTCTCACTATGATAACCCAGGCTGGCCTCAAACTTGCCCCTCCTACTTCAACCTTCCTAGAACCGGGATTGCAGGCATGTGCCACCACACCAACATTCTCAAAAAATTCTTAACTCCATGAGAGCAATAAAACAAGAAGGATTTTTGTTGATCATTGTATTTCTATGCCTGATTTAAGAGTAAATATTAATAAACTTTTACTAAATTAATGAAAGAATTAATATCAGGTTTTAGAGATCAAACCTCAGATGTAAGAGATCATCAACAGCGTGAACTAGTTGACAGATTCTTCCTGCTTTTAAACACAAATATTTTGTTTATTCAAAGAATTGTGAATATTCTAAGACAATTTGAAACCCTGCTATGTATCAGGAGCTGTGCCAGGTCCTGAAGGCACAAAAGTTATTTCCATGCTCTCTAGAAACACTCTAATTTTTAAATTGTTGCAGTTCACAGCAGTAGGTACTAAAAATAAGAGCTGTGCACAAGGAAGTCCTGAGGAAGGAGTGTTAAATTGTCCTTGGCAGGTCAGTAAAGACATTGCAGAGGCAGAAAGTCTTAGAGTACTAGGAGGTGGAGGAGTTCACCAGACAGACAACAGTACAGCATTCCAGACAGTATCCAGAGGAACTGAGTCATGAAGGAATGTATAAGAATGGCATATTCCAGGAAATACCAGTAATTCATTGAGGCTAGGAAGGGAAGGGAAATGGTGAGAAATGAATATGGAAAAATAAGCAGGGGAAAATCAGAGTAAATGATCTTAACACGCTGTCTCAGACATTAGTATTTGATCCTATAGGAAATGGGGAGAGAGTGAAACACTTAAAAAGTAACTGTCAAATTTGTGTTTTAGATAAATTACTTTAGCCACCAGAGAAATAGATTGAGAAATATTTGAGAGGTAGAATCTCCCAGACCTAGGAACCAACTGCATGGGAGAAACAGATGGAAAATTGTGTAAGACAATAAGAATGTAGAATTGATGGAGCGGGAGCTATACATTCATTTTCCTTTGGCTTTTAAATTGGATTTCAGCATACCTGTGTCAGTGACCATTGGCACCAAATAAAATGTCTCCACAAACATATGGGCTTTGGTTCAGAGGTTTCCCCTAGATTTCACTTTTTCACCTGCTTCTACTCCTCCAATGCATGAGTTCTCCTCAATTCTCTACCTTCATAATTTGATCCTCTCTAGTCATATGAGCCTATTTGGATTTTGTAACCTTAACTTGGTGTTATGGTTTAAATATCAAGTGTCCACCAAAGACTCATGTTTTGAGGGTTTGATCGCCAATGCAGCAATGTTCAGAGATAGGGACTAGAACGGTGGTTGGATTAGAAAGGTGCTAATCTTATCAATGGGTTTAATCCATTGGAAGTTTGCTTGTCCTTTCCACTGTAGAAAAAACACAATAAGCCACCATCTACGAGCCAGGAAGTAAGCCCTCACCTAATGGTGAATCTTGTGCCTTGATCTTGGACTTCTTAGCCTCTAGAACAACGAGGGATAAATTTCTGCTGTTTATAAGCTACCCAGTTTACAATATTTTGTTATAGCAGCTTGAATGGACTAAAACACAAGGAATGAAAGTTTTGTTTCCCACGGATGACAGTCTCCATGCTATTGGCAAGGATGGAGATAGAGTCAACTCCATATTCATTAGCAACATATGTGTCCCAACATAATGCTAGCATCACTTCCAGAAAAATTCACCAGCAACTTGTGGAGGATGTTCTGCTTCTGTTTCCTGATCCATCAAAATTCTAAATTCTAGACTTGAGAGAAACTATAATTATACTCTACCCTCATGGATTGCACGGGCTACAGAGATGTAGGCAGTAATAATTAGCCTAGAACAATTGGCCTAGAACTACAAGTTTCCTGAGCGTGCAGGGTAATGAGCTTGATGGCCACACCCATCAAGGGGATAGTGACGCCAGGTTGATTTTGTTAAGGAAGGGAATCAATTGCATCTGGGCCATGGAATTTCAATTTCTTGCCATTGAACTCAAATACAAGGAAAAGGATGAGCACTACTCTTATCAAAATGATTGTGGAGGTAGGATTTTGTGAATATAGCGGTATAGGAAGGACAACAAATCTGTATCCCTACCTAGACAATAATTTCACTGGCAGAATCAGTCTGGTATAATTATTTTGATATTCAAAAATCTACTGAAGGCTTGCAATTCTCAGGGGAAGGCTGGACCCTAAATTCTGGCTAATTTCAGTTTATTTCCACTCCTAACCCAGTAGCACGTATCCATCCCTGATCCCGCCCTGTGGCGGGCAGTGGTTCACAGCTGTGTGGAGCAACCTGCACACAGTTTATGGGAGCCAATGTTGGCAAAAAGGACCTTATCCTCCAAATATATGAATATCTATGCTCTGAAAATTGATTGCTGGTTCTGATCATGGCGGTACATACAAAGAGATGGGTGGCCAATACTGTTGCACCATTCTCCCATTGCTCCAAGTACTCTTCCCCTGACAAAAGTGATTTCCAGGACATGTAAGAGGCCAGTGCTCTTTTTCCATCCCCGCCATTACTTTTTCTCCTTTGGAGAGCCAGATGTTAAAAACCATTACATTAGGGCCGAGGATTTAGCTCAGTGGCACCATGCCTGCCTCACAAGCGCAAGGTCTTGAGTTCTGATCCCCGGTACCAAACAAAACAAAAAACACATTACATTAAGAAACAATTGTACACATGAAGGAAATTTTAAAATGACTGTATATGCCCAGAGAAAGACTCTGGTAGACATAAGAAGACCTCAGATTTACACTTCAGGCTGCTTGTCAGCACAGACATAGTCTACAAAGTAAAAAATAAAAATAAACAACAACTACACAACACACACACACACACACACAACTTCCACAAAGCCAGGCATAGTGCCAATGCCTATAATCCCAGCTCTCTGGGAGGCCAAGGCAGGAGGATTATAAATTCAAGCCCTCCTGGGCAATTTAGTGATTTAGTGAGATCCTGTTTCAAAACAAAAAATGTTTAAAGGGCACTTAGTGCTAAGGCCCTGGGTTTAATTCCCAGTACTGACACTACCAAAAAAAAAGAAAAAAGATTCTCAAGAAACAAAAGGGAGATTGGGGGGAAGTCAAGAACATGATACATGGAAAAACAGGAGAATCAATAAGAACATAGAAAACTTTAAAAGAAACCAAAACTATTCTTGAGCTGAAATGTATAGTAACTGAAACAAAAAAAATTCACTAGAGGGCTTCAAAGACAGGTTTGAAAGGGCAGAAAAAAGGATCAATGAATTTAAAGAAGGAAAATGAAAATTACTGTGTCTGAGAAAAAGAAAGAAAAAAGATAGAAGAAAAGTGAACAGAGGTGAAGAGACCTGTGAGATATCATCAAGTGGACCAGTATACACAAAGCAGGAGTTCCAGAAGAAGAAAAAGAGAGAAATTAGCAGAGAATATTTTAAGAAATAATGGCTGAAAATTTCACACATGTGATAAAAGACATGAATGTAAACATCAAAGAAGCTCAACAAATTCCAAATAACATAGAGTCACAATGAAACAAATTGTAATCAAACTTTTTAATATTTTTATTAGTACATGTTTGCATTATATAATGTTTACATTGCTTGTGTGGAGTTGGTACGTGTACATAATACATCTTAATTGCTTTTGTCATCCTCTTTCCCTTCCTTCTCTTCCCCCTTCCTTCATCTCTTGATTCCCTTTCCCATCTGAGAAAGATCTGTCTTCTACTTTCTATTACATGTCTTTTATTTTGCTTTTTTTTTTTTTTTTGTACTGGGGATCCAACTCAGGACCTTGAGCTTTTGAGGCAGGCGGCAGCATCACTGAGCTAAATCCCCGGCCTCTTTTATTTTGCTTTTTATTTATACTTTGGATTTCTTGTATAAGAGAAATAATGCAATATTTAAGTGTGTGTGTGTGTGTGTGTGTGTGTGTCTGTCTGTCTGTCTAATTTATTTCACTTAACATTATGGTCTCAGGGTGCATCAAAAAATAGGCAAGTGAAATGAATGGACATTTCACAGAAGTACAAATGGCCAATAAATACATGAAGAAATGCTCAACATTGCTGGCCATTAGAGAAGTCCAAATTAAAACAACATTAAGATTCCATCTTACTCCAGAAAAAAATGACCATCATTAAGAAATCAGATAATAACAAGTGCTGACGAGGCTGCAGGGGAAAAGGAACCTTTCTACATTGTTGATAGGAATGTAAACTAGTGCAACCACTATGGAAATCAGTGTGGAGATTCCTTAAAAAACTAGAAATAGAAATTCCATTTGACACAGCTGTTCCATTTCTAGGTATCTTCCCCAAAGAGTTAAAGACATCACATTGCAGTGATGTATGCATACCCATGTTTATAGTCAAAGCTTTGAAAACCAAAGACAAAGAGAATCTTGAATACAGTAACAATGAAGCAGGGCAGGGATTTAGCTTAGTGGCACCACACCTGCCTCACAAGTGCAAGGTTGTGAATTTGATCCCCAGTACCAAGAAAAAAAAGAATGAAGCAACTCATCACATAAAGTGATCCAAAAAAGAATTATGGGGGCCAGGGATTTAGCTCAGTGGTTCCTCTGCCTGCCTCACAAGTACAAGGTCCTGAGTTCGATCCCAAGTACCAAAAAAAAAAATATATATATATATATATATACGAAAATATTTCTCATCAGAAAATTTGGAAAGCAGAAGATAGTAGATCTATATATTTAAAGTGCTAAAAAAATCTGTCAACAAAAAAACCTTATATTTGGCAAAAACTACTTAAATAGTAAAGGAGAAAGCAGAGTGTGGTGGCACGCACCTGTAATCCTAGCTTTTGGGGAGAATGAGGCAGGAGGATTGTAACTCAAGTCTAACCCAGACAACTTATTAAGACTCTGTCTCAAAATAAAAAGGGGTGAGGATTTGGCTTAGTGGTAAAGTGCTTGCTTAGCATCTGTGAACTTCTGGGCTCAATACCTAGCACTGAGAAAAGAAAAGACAACACTAGATAGTAACTCAAAACATTATGAAGATTACCATAAAGGTAAATAAATGAACAATTATAAAAATGAATATTATTGCAACAATAGTTTATAACTCGACTCTGCTTTGTTTGTTTATTGTAGTACCAGGGACTGAACCAGGGCCTTTCGCATGCCAGGTAAGCACTTTATCACTGGGCTATATCTCTAGCCTGTTTCTTGTTTTCTTTTAGAATTTGGGGGATTGGAGCCAGGGATTTCATTCAGTGGTACCACACCTCCCTCGAAAGTGCAAGGTCCTGAGGTCGATCCCTGGTACCAAAAAAAGGGTTGGGGGATTGAATTCAAGGCCTTGTGCTTGCTAGGCAAGCACTCTACCATTGAGCCCTTTTTAAAGTTTTATTTTATTTTATTTATTTTTGAGATAGGGTCTCATTAAGTTGCCTAGGCTGACCTGGAACTTGCAGTCCTCCTGCCTCAGCCTGTGAGTAGTTGAGTTTAAAGGAGTATGCCACCACTTTTATACATGATTTCTTTTATAAGAGACAGGGGCTCACCTTTTTATCCACGCTAGCCCCAAACTTTTATGTTTATGTGCTCTTCCTCCCTCAGCCTCATGAGTAGCTGATAATATGACCATGTGCCACTACACCACACAGGTTTATTTTTTACATGATTTAAGATATTAATACATTTTTGTTTGTTTGTTTTTGCAGTACTGGGAATTGAACCCAGGACCTCTGCACTGAGCTATATCCCCAGCCCTTTTTACTTTTTATTTTGAGAAAGAATGAGTCTCCCTAGGTTGTCCACTTGGGACTTGAACTTGCAATCCCTCCTGCCTCTGACTCCCAGAGGGCTGGGGCTAGTGGCATATGCCACCATTGCTGGCTTAAGATAATAATACATTTTTAAAATGATTAATCTCAAAGCTATCATTACTGTGACTTTGTTTTATACTCTACATTTTATTTCCTACAGAATTACAGAGATCAATGCATTTGAAGAAATTATTAGTTTGGGGCTGGGGATTTAGCTCAGTGGTTACACCGCCTGTCTTGAAAGCTCAAGGACCCGAGTTCAATCCCTGGTACCAAAAAAAAAAAAGTATTAGTTTGTTTGTGGACACACATGTATAATATATAATTTTGTAACATTAACAACTAAAAGAGATAGGGACAGACCTGTAATGGAACAGAGATTTTGGGGGGAATCTTTTTGTGTGTTTTGCTGTTGTTGTTGTTGTAGTACTCAGACCTGAACACATGGATGCTCCACCACCGAGCTACAGTGGACCCTCAAGTTATGACCAGCCTAACATATGAACAACTTGGGTTAATTAGGGTGATGGAAGATTCATCTGCCTCTTGTTACATATAGCAGGTAAACATCCAGATCTCAGCTGTATTGACTTACAGACAACTTGACTTACAACCAGCCCTTGGTAACTGATTGAATTCATAAGTCAAGGGTACACAGAACATCCTAGCCTTGTTTGTTTATTTATTTATTTATTTAGAGACAAGGTCTCAGTAAGTTGCCCACTCTGGCCTCACTTGTAATACTTCTGCCTCAGTCTCCCAAATGGCTGGAATTACAAGTGTTTGCCACCATGCCCAGCTAGGAGCAGAGTTTGTGTATGTTAATGAAGTTAAGCTAATATAAACACAAATTACAGTGTTATAACTTTAGAAAATTCAAAGTAATTCCCATGGCAACCATAAAGAAAGGAGCTAAAGAATGTCCACAAAAAGAAACAAGAATGGGATTTCAAATTCACAACAAAAAGTTAACTAAACAAAAAAGAAGACAGTGGCCATGTCTGGTGGCAGATACCTATAATCCCAGTGCTCTGGTAGGCTGAGGCAGAGGATCCCAAGTTTGAACCTAGTCTGGGAAATTTAGCAAGACCTTATGTCAAAATAATACTCAATGGTGAAAGACTGAACACTTTTCCTTTAGACTAGATTAAACAGAGTGATGTGTGATTTCACATACTCATTCCTTAGCCAATACTGAAGTTAATATGAGCTGAGTCACAATGCATGCCAGAGCCACACCCAAGCGAGGAAAGAGAAGAGACACCATAGTTTTAAGGCAATAGAGTAAGCCTCTAGCCTTCTGGTTCTCTCTGCACATCTTCATGTGTATCTACTCTTCTGTTTTCTGGTACCCTTAGTTTACCCAGGCCATATTCTTAGGCCACTACTACCTCAATTTTCCTTAACAACAATGGGAGGAGAATTGAGCATCTCATTAAATGGGTTCTGATTTTAGGGTCACATTTGGCAAAATTCTAGTACTTAGTCCTACTAGAAATGGATCAGAGGGGCACTGAGATAGCTGGTGAAATACTACCACCCTGCCCAGGAGGAGGAACTATACTCCTAGCATTGTTGTTTTAACTTTGAAAAAGCCTATTTTCATTAAACAAAAATTTATTGAACATATATCATATATCACACACTGTTTAATTGCTGGGAATACATCAATGAATCAAATAGATTTTTTAAAATATCCATATCTTCACGGAGCTTACACATACCCATGTGTCCATGACACAGCTTAAAACTCAGCATAGCTATTTACTATAGGCTATGAACACCTCATTAAAAAGTATAGTGGACCCTCAAGTTACAACCGGCCTGGCATTTGAACAATTTGGGTTACGACTGGAATTTTCATTTTAACTTATGACTGAAGTCTTGAATTACGACTTGAATGCCGGCCACTTGTGCTTCTCCAGGTGGTCTCAGATACAGATTTAACTCTTAAAGAGTTCTTGAAGAAACATTACAACATCCTTTCCTCTGTAGGGTTATTTGAGAAATCCTGGGCCAATGTCTCCCTAAGGACACTGAATCTGCCTGTATCCAGGAGAGAGCCTTCATTTGTTTAACTTGAGTTACAAGCAGCCCTCAAGAACAAACTGAGTTTGTAAGTCAAGAGTCCACTGTACTGGTGAAAACTGATTCCTTCTTAATTTGTTTGGCTTTACATACTGCATAGCCTCTCCTTTTTATTTCATCATATTTTCAGTTAAACATATGGCTTTAAATATCCTAGTACTGGTTTAGCAACCTATATTGTAATCCAGGCCACCAACTAGCTACACATTCAGCCTTCTTACTACTTCCTCAAGTTCCAGAATCCGTGGCACAACTAACAACTAGCATAACCTATTGGAACAATCTGCTGACACTACAGACTCAGAAATCACTATAGTGTTGTTTATAGCTTTATAAAGGATACAAACCAGGACCAGCCAAGTGAGAAGACTTATAGAATGAGGTCTTTGTGGGACCCAAACCTGATGCTTTCATATCCCCAGGAGGCATCATCTTCTTGGAACATTAATGTATGATTACCAACTAGGGATATTTATCCAAGTTTCGGGTGTCCAAAGTTTATACTGGAGTTTCATCATGTAGGCATAATTGATTGAAGCATGGGCCACATGAATGAATTCAACTTGTATAACCCCACCTCCAGATGTGGGGAAGTTGGGCAGATAGCATGGGGCTCAAAGCCCCAAACATCTAGTTACATGGTTTATCTTTCCAATATGGTTAACACCCATCCTAAAACTATCTTCGGACCTACCACAAAGTCAACTTATTAGCATAAATTCAAATGTGGCCCAAGGAATCCACCATGAATAGCAAAGACACTCCTGTCATTCAGGAAATTCCAAAGATTTTGAGGCTCTCTCCAAGAAAGTAGGGACAAAAACCAATCAAATTATTTATTAAATAACATCTGTTATAAAATGAATTGTGTCTCTTCCAAAATTTATATGCCCTAATCCCCAGCATGAAATGAAATGTCCAACATATAGTAAGTAATCAATTAATAAATGACAGACAAGAAGAAAATCCAGTGGTTGACTGGGTCCAGACGGAAGAGTTGAAGCCAAAAAAAGAGAGACATGGTTTATGTTTACAATAGGGCAGCATGATGATAAATATCACTTTCAACAAAGAAACAGGGCAGCTTGAGTCATAAAAGCAAACTGGATCCAGACCAAGTAGTCATCTGAAGTCACTACAAACAAGAGTATGAAGACAGCCGAAGAGTATTTTTGCCATGTAACTGGCTCCTGAGCCTGGTGGGTTTTCCTTCTGCTTATTTCCTCAGTTCAGGTGATGTCTCCAGAATGCTTTTCTTTCTTTCTTTTTTTTTTTTTTTTTGTACCTGGGATCGAACTCAGGACCTTGTGCTTTCAAGGCAGGCGCCAGAACCCCTGAGTTAAATACCTCGCCAAGAATGCTTTTCTTGAAGCATGGGTGTCCAACCTTTTGGCTTGCCTGGGCTGCATTCACTGAAGAGGAATTGTCTTGAACTGCATATAAAATATATAATTAGTTTATGTATGTAAATGACGAAACTTCCTGTATTTTAAAATATTTTTATAACACTAAAAAAGAAGGCAACATAAAACTGACTGTGTGTGGCTGGCACAAAAGGTGGCATTAGCACTGCACTGCTCCCTCCCCGACACAGCATTCCATTGTCACCTACACAGTCCATGCTCCAGCACCATGTAATCAAGTCGAGAAAAATACTGCTAAAAATCACATCATAGTTTTAAAAGTTTGCAATCTTTCGGGGTGGAATTACTAGCTCTCCAGGGCCATATGGCACCTGCAGTACAAGGGCTGGACAGTTCCTGCAAATGCTTCTTACTCCTGTCTTAGCACCTTTCTATCCTTAGCCCAGGCAGTACTGGTAGCGATCTAGGGACTGACAGATGAGTCTACTCAGTTTCAACAGTTTCCTTCCCTCCTAGGGGTTGAGGGTCCTGGGAAAGAAAATACTTAAGGGCTGGGGATTTGGCTCAGTGATGCTGCTGCCTGCCTCACAAGTACAAGGACCTGAGTTTAATCCCCGGTACCAAAAAAAGGAAAAAGAAAATATTTAAACCACCTCACCCTCATGCCAGGCAGCTATTCAAGGAGTCTCCCCTGGCTGTGCTGAGAAACATGTTTTTACTGAGCATCTCCCACAGTCTCATTGTCTGCCACTTGAATTTCACCTCTCTCCCTGTTCCTTTTGGTGATGGCATCTTAATTACCTTGAAAACTTTACTCAAGTCTCTAAGCATCAACCCAGCATCTGGGAGCCCTGGCCCCTTAGGAGTGTGTTAGGGTAAAGGGACAGAGAGAAAATCTGTAACACATCCCTTCTCCCAGCAACCTCCCCCCACCCTCCCACTCAACTCCCTTCTCCACTCTAGGGGATGCTACTCACACTGTCATTTTACCCCATTTTGTACCACACAAAATGCATTATCAGGAGTTTTTTTTATCCCTCAAACTTCCATCAGCCACAACTCTTGAAGCAATGTTTATGAAAGCCTAAAACTAGTATACTGCTTGAAATGTCCATTAGCCATGCCTCATTTCCTTCAGGAGGAAAAAACTTGCCATTAACTAGGGTTCTAACCTTAACCTGTAGAATTTGCTAGCAATATCAGAAAGATTATTGAAAAGGGGAGATTTTTCTTAACTCCACCAGTATCACAGTCTATGGATTCACCTCAAGGCCAGGGAAGTTGGAGGAAATTCTCTATTCTAATCCAGAATGAGAGAGGGAAACAATTCTCTGAGGGAATAAATAGGTTGTTTGCAGCAGTGAAAGAGAAGCAAGAAGATCAATTTGGGGCTTCAGTGGCTGTAAAGAAAAAATGAGCCAGGAGCTGCCAAAACTGAGCAAGAAAAAAATCAGAGCTTCTCACAAATGTCTCATTCCCCACTGTGGAATTTTGAAAGCCTTCAGTTCTACCCAATCATTACACTCATTTCCCTCCTCCCAATCGTCTATTAGAGGGGTGGGGGCAGGGCAGGATTCTCTGTGTCTTAGTTTCTTTTCTCATTGCTAAGATAAAATACCAAACACCCAAATTTAAAGGAGGAAAGGTTTATTTGGCTCACAGTTTGTAGAGCTTTCAGTCCATAGTCGGCTGACTCCAAGGCAGGGTGGCAGAGGAGAAACAGTTCATGGTGGGCAGAAGATAGCAAAGCAATAAGGGACCTTAACCTTGTCTTTCTGCCCCTTTTATCTTGTCCAGACTACTTAGGGTGGGCAGCACTCACATCTTTAATCCTAGTGCCCTTGTGCCTAGTATTGCACCATGAATCAATTCCAGCATCACACACTCTAGATCCAGCCACCTCTGAAAAAGCCCCACCTATGACTGCATGAAGCCTTGGGGGCAACAACTAAACACAAGCCATAAAATCCTGCTTTAGGTGACAGAGTCTCAGAAAGAGAAGAATGTTGGGAAAAGAAGAGGTCTCCATTTCTAGCATTCTTAGCTGTACCCTTGAATGCCTGTCCTTGTAAAACTACTGTACTATGAGTTGGGTTACGAGGTCCCATAGTTCTGTTGAAATTATATTTCAGAGCACAATTGGGTTAAGCATAGCTAACCACCATATATAAAATGGTTACTACAGGAAATGAATTTGGAGTTGCACATGACTTACTTCTACAAATGAGCTACCGGAATGTTGCCATCTGACATGGCAACTGCTTGTGCAACTCTCACATGAGAGAGGAAGATACACTGATGTCTTTTGAGACTCTTAGGTTCATAGGACAGGAATGATTCTAGTTTCTTTTTGTTTGAGAACTGTCTCGTATTGCCTTTTTATTATTCTGAAGATCAAATAATGTGTTGTTCCTTCTGGGCATGTCTTAAAGGTCTGTGACCAGCACATCTATTGATTTCTGTTGAGTCAAAGCAAAGGTTTAGTGTCCCACTTGCTTAGAAATGTAAGAGAACAAGTAAAAGTTAAAAGAAAGTTTAATTTCAGCTTTGTGAGGCTTTTTGATCATGAAAATCACTGAAATATATCTGAGAAAAGTACCTTTCTTTACTGAAGTTCAGAGTTAAGTTTATTTAAATTCATATTATAGAATTGTACTCTAGCTACTTTAGCATAATTGTGTGTGTGCATGCACATGTTCATATGAGAGAGACAGAGAAATGAATCATGCACCCTCAGTGAAGTTGAAAGTCTAGTTAATTCTGAAAAGATGCCATCCTTAAGTGAGCTCTAGCTTGTTTACATGCAGGCTAGCTACAAAACCATATTTATCCTTGAGGAGGGGTTACTTACAAAACAATGTAATCAGCTTCTAGTACACAGAAATATTTCTATACTTCAAGTTTCTCCACTTCTTTTTCTTTTTTTCTTTCTTTTTTCTCAATGTTAAGGATCAAACCCAGGGCCTTGCTTTTGATAGGAAAGCACTTTATCACCAAGCTACATCCCCAACCCTGCAAGTTTTCTAAAAAAAAAGAAAAAAAGAAACCACATCATGGTTTGAAAATAGCAAGAGGTGAAATAGGCTTCTTTCATATGACTCTTCCATAACAAACATTTTTACATGTAGGAAATATTTAAAGATCGTTCCTAAGTTTAAAAATAGTGAAGAACTCCAATAAACCTTTAGATCATGCAGTTGAATACTTCCTGTGTGCCAAGGGCTTCACATATGTTTTCTTCTTTAATGCTCACTGTTATAAATGGTGTGTGTGAGGCTACTTAGAGAGAGGCTTTGAAAAAAAAAAAAAGCTTTATTCCTGTCCAGGTGTGAACAGGGACTGGAATCAAAAGCAGATTTCAGCAGCTAGCTGGGAAGAGGTGAATTTATTTCATCCATGTGTGGATGGGCTGACATTGAGAGAGAGAGATATATTAGGAGCTAGCTGGGAAGGATATTAGGTTTATATAGAGCATGAAAAGGAGGCTTTGGTCATAAGGAATGTTTATGACTGAGGGTCCAAGGACAGTCAGGGAAGGTGTGAAGACAACATTGAAATATGTTGTTTGAAATATATCCCCATGCTGGGGAGATTATATCTTGTTGTTTGTAGAGAATGGCATGTTTGCTTGTGAAGGTCTCATTCAGGCCAGGCACGACACTCACTAAAGCCCTTAGAGAAAGGGATGGCTATTCCTATTTTACAAATTAGGAAATTAAAGCAGTGAGATTAAGGAAATTGCCTAAACTTTCACAGTTTACAAGTGGCAAAGAAGATATTTGAATCCAGGTCCACCTGACAGACCCAAGCTCTCAACTACTTTGCTGCTTCCTAAATGGCAAATTCCTACTACTATTACCATTAAACATTGGCTACTATTACCACGGATTGCCTGGGGGCATCTTTATAGTACAGCACTATATACAGTGCTCTTCCAAAAGTTTTCTCTGTAAGAAGGCTACTTACTTGAGGAAGGTGCTCTTGAATACCATATTATAACCAGTAAAAAAAAAAATCCTTAAAATTAAAATAATACATGCTTTTGTAGAATATGAATGCAGTTTGCATAAAGAACAGCTATAATGTCTTATAGGGATATATGTGCCCTGCTTGGCAGTGAAGGAAAGCAGAATGGACAAGGCATGTCCATGTACGTTCCTGCACACACACATACTCACCACTGTGCCACCTGAGAGAAAGACAGAGATAGACAGACAGATAGATAGAGACAGACAGAGACACAGAGACAGAGAAAGGAGGAGGCGGCTGGGTTTTGTGCTAGTTCACCTCTATCCTTGTACAGAAGCTTGTTAATATTGGGAGACTCAAGCCTAGCAAACTGAGCCAAATCATTACACACACACTCCGCTGTTACTGCTGTGGCTCAGTCATGGAACACAGCACCTTCCTTCCCCCAGGCTAGCCAGTAAATCTCTAAAGATAGGACCTTTCCTCCTGATTTGACAGAAGAGTCTTGCCTATCAGGACTTGTGAATGTACCCTCATTATCCTCCTCTAAAAATGGATGTTAGGTTCTCTCATGTCTCCTAAAATGTAGTATGTTAGAAATGCAATCAATTTATAGCCATCAACCCTTCTCCCAAAGCTCATGACATAATATGATTGATTTCAGACAGTTTTGTTGACTTGCCTCTAAATTTTTCTGGATGGGTAAATAGGGATGGACTTGGCTTCCCACAGCAGCTGCTAGCCCCAGCATCTGTGCAAGTGGGGCCTATATCTCTGTCTCAGCTTCAGCGGATTGGGAGGATCCCCAGGAACTTGTTCTTGT